GACGATGTGCTCTTGTAAGAGTTTTAAGGCTCACAGCAACAAACCAATTGTTCCGGTACTTGACAGGCCCTCTCCTTCGCCCTTGCAAACACCTTGAGCGCGAACTTTCTCATTCATTCGTGATTAAGACTTTGTTTTTCCATGATTGGTGCTTATTGTGCTTCAAGAATTGCAATCTTCTGTATGGTTATTGTTAAGCTAAGAAGTCCTTATCTCTGATTAGCTGGCTTTCTGAGGGGAACGTATTTTGAGACTATCCGAGGCTATGCTTACGGCCTGGGTGCGCATTTAATATTTCATCTTCCCTGTTCTCTTCTGAATCTCTCCAGAACTACATTCATACGAAGCCCGAGGTTCCTGAAACAAAATCGAAATCACGTGACGATCTTCTGGGCTTCACAAATGTTCCTGAACATATCCTAGACGCCCTGTTTGGCCGAAACCGTGCAGGTATGTTGTTCTAGCCGCTCCTTTGTAATCACGTCTCATTTTTCTCTTTTATTTGATCCTCGTGGTTGTGTTTTCTGGGCATTGTTCTTCTTCCTTGTCTTTCACCCGCCTCACGGCTTCACACCGCTTTTGGTCGTAACTATCCTAAAGTGATTCTTGATAAATGTTACTACTCAATTTTTTGCTAGTAGTATGTGTTTATAATGTACTTGCCGCGTCTCCTACTACCGCGCGTACGCCCTTCTTGTATAACAGTAGCATTGGTAAGCGCGTCGCTGCCTGATCAACACCAGAATCACTTCGACTCCTAGAAGATGGAGTCCCTTCACACGGGTTTCTTCCGGCCTCCCACTGCTAATACGCACTTTAAGGATCTTACGCATTCTTTTCTAGCTGTACCCTTTAATAGCTCCTAGTATTGAGCTCTGTCTTTGCAATTCCAATTTTTCCTCCACGCCGCATACGCTCCCCTTAGTGGTATGGATCTATCTAGTTAAGTTGTCCCGTCCATGGCTGCTCAATGTGTGTTTCTTTGATTGTAGATCCGAATGATCGGCAGGCTCGCTTCTACTGTCAAGCCAATCGCAATTTTTCTGATTTCGTTCGAATACGGTGGGTTAACTATAGTTCTCCTGTTTCAGTGCACAGTTTTTGCTCCACCCTGTGGACCCTTGAGGATTGACAATTGCCAGTTCATTTTATGTAATTTAGTGAATAACCAGCTGTTGTAACTTCTTGTGTTCACATGGGCTTAATAATATTCACTGTCAATACAAGCGAATATGCGAGTCCCAGGAAGTAATTGAGAAGAAGACGACTCGATCGCTGGGACAATACCTTTATTCGCCTGTCGCGGATCTCGAAACTTAAGGCGAATAAAACTATTGTCCCAGCGATCGAATCGTCTTCTTCTCAATATTCAGTGTGTTGTGAGGGCTAAAACGTCTAATTCTCGAGGTGAAATAGATTTTTCAGACCGAATCGTCGTGTTAACCCTTTATTTATCTGTGGATGTTTTTTGCTAATTTAAAGCAACAACTTGACCATTTTCCTTCCATAGAATGAATTAGACACATCGTTCGTTCACGCTAACTGCCTTAAGTCCCCAAACTGAAATCAAAATGCAGGCTTCAAAACTAATGAGGATGGTTTGTGTTTATTGTTTAACCAAACGAACAAGATGAATTCGCTTCGTTTGCCTCTTGGTAATAGGCGCCGGAAGGTTTTGCCTTGGTATTTTACTGGTTACATGTGGAGGTGGATCATCTCGCCATCAGGCCTTGTTTCTTTTGTCGTTTTATAGCATATCGTTATGCTACTTGTCTAAGTAGAGTAGTGTGTATTTTACCATTACTGTGGAGTTGTCTTACGCTCCACCGTCAGTCAGTGTTCGACCATCGATTTCGATGAAGTCCACCAAGTGCACTAACAGGTTGGTA